AGCCCCACACCCTCTTCACCATGGGGGCCTTGATTTGCCCCTTAGGCCCCTCCCCTTACATCACAACAGACTTATCAGCTGCACGCAGCTCTCCACACTGCCGGCTGTGCTCCTCACTGCCTACATACTACACTGCAGCTGCTTGCACGCATGGGATATTTTTCAGCCGAATTATCAGTCACATCAGGCCGATTTCCGATATAGACAATTTTCTTTACTTTGGTGCCGATCCGATATTGGACTGATGTATTGGTGCACCTCTACTTATCACACGCTGTGTAGACACATTATTCATACACATTATACTGCTGTGGTCCACTTATGCAAAATACCTGCTACAGAGCCAATCAGACCTAAAAACATATGCAAGCTGGAGTTTTTGTGCGATTAATACATTTAGAACAGACAACAAAGATTTGTCTGACAGAAAGGGTTGAGTAGATTCTTGTTGTGTTGTTATTTATATTGTGTATTTTTAATTCATGGACTGGGCATATTTTAGAGCCTTTTATAAAATGGTATAAAGTTACTGAAAGGCAGTACTACTTCACTGGGGCATTTTTTCTTAAAATGTTGTTTAATGGTTATTTGTGACTTTAAAAAAGACTGTTAAAAAGGTACCCCAGTTTGTGACAGTCACCTTTTTGTTTGGATTATAAACCCAAAGGAATAAACATCAACAACAATGTCACCAATGCCAAACAGGCAAGTAACGTTTCACTTAGGTCAAAGAGGTAAAGTTGGATCGTATTATTTTTTTTAAATAAAAAGATCTAAAATAAAGCAAAATGCAGGATATGAGTTCAAGATAATGCCCCATTTCTTACACTTACTTCACTTAATGTTAACATACTCATATCAATATGAATATCAGACAGAACACAACAAAGGTAAATTCTTTGTTCTGACTTTTGTTTTAAATTAATATTAGTATTGATTCATCCTCAAAAAATCACTTCATAAGGGCTTTCTGCACTAAGAAATACCATCTAATCACAGTAGCACTTCGAAGTGCAAAGGAGCTGAATTATGAATGTTGGATATACAAACTCTAAACTGAAGCAGTGAACAATATCAATCAAATCCCAAACTACAGTGCAATCTCACTATTATGAGTCAAATGGGACTGGAAAAAAGTTTGTTAAAAGAGGTTGATCACTGGAGTAGAATTAGGCAGTTTGCTGTATCATAATAATGAAATAAAAGCAGTTCCTGCTGTTGGGATTGTTAAAAGGGGTTTATTATAGATCAGGATCATCATAAATCAGGCTATGCTGTAATGTGTCAGAAAGTAGACATGAGATTTTTTGAGAGCAACAGTTTAAAGTAATTGATCTGTCCCCTCTTTCATGTTATCACTAAACTTTTAAAAACAGTCTTGGTAAGAGTCTTTAACACAGGCATTTCCAATTAACTGTAAGATCAATAAAATCTTTCTAGTAGTATACTTATGACCACATTTTCTGCTGCAAACAAAGAGTGCATCTAATCCAATAGAAACTATGTACACTCATTCTTTTCCCCTTTGGTTTTCAAATTTTGAGTCTAGTAAAACCTATACTTCTTTCTGAGGTCACATTTAAAAAAAAAACCAAAACAAGGATTTCTACAGCAATACTTTTGAAGCATGCTATTTTTGGCTTACAATTAATCATAGACATACATTCAATCAAGAGGTTGACTGTGGTCGCAGATGTACTAGTATCTTCGGAAAAGTTGCAGTGATTGCTCTTATATAACCAAGAGCATTACCAAAGCATAAAATAACTAACTGCTAGATATGAAATGCTGGAGAATACAGAAAATGTAACAAGCCCTTAAAAATTACAATAAAAATAAAATGCATAAATACATACAGAGAAGGGTTCCATATAACATCCAGGTGCCTACCATAGCCAGGAAAAATAGAAACAAGATGAAATAATAATGGTTTCCAACACCTGTTTGAGACAAAAAAAAAAAAAAGACTGTCATTCTGCATCTTACCAGCGTTAGTATTTTCCCCAAACTTAACAGGGACAGAAATACCATGAGCATCAAGTGTAAGATTCACTGTGCTCAGTATGTCTGACAAATCTGCTTTAACATTTTTCTCAACTTGCTTAAGCTAGTCACCCTAATTAAGTCATTGAAACTGCGTATGATATTGTTGACGAGGACTGGATCTACTACTTGGAGTTTGACATAAGCAAACATAGTTCTTTTAACTGGGTGAAAATAAGTTACGTATCCCCAGTTCTGTTCTAGCTCATAATAATCTCCTTGGGATGATAGTTAACCTGCACTACTACTACTTTTTCTGTTCTGCAGCATTATGAACATACATGTGAAAACACATATGCTGTATTTTGGGCTTTGTAACTAATATAATTATTTTTCTTTAAATGATTATTATAAAAAATGTTCACTTCTTTGAAACTTTACATCAGAATTAATTCAGTCTTATAAATAACTTGTAGACAACCCAGAGCAAAATTTTAAGCATTTAAATTTCCCATTTGTAAGTAAAATCACAGCTTTAAAGGATATCCTCCATAGCAATATTATTTGTCACAGTTCTAGCCAGTGTGGTTCCCCATTAATTATAGTGTTTGGAGACCCTTGTGAGCTCAGCAAACTTTAAGCTCCCTCAATGACTTCATTTCAGAGTATCCTTCAAAGAAGGACAGTATACAGTCCTCACGGGGACCAATCTCTTAGTGCTTCAACTGCAGATGATAACTAAATTGTGACATTACGTATTCTATAGGTGTTTAACAAACAACCTGCAGCTCTTTCTATGCAAGGTATATTCCAAGTGTGTTAAAACAAACTCACCTACACATTGGCCAGTCCATAGACAATGTTGGTCATATCTAGCTACACATGTGTTGCAAACAAGGCAGTGCATGGATCTCAAAGGCTTTCTTATCTAGGTAAGGGTACAAGAGAAAAATACAATAAACATACAGAGAACACAGAAACATTCACTGTCACTAAATTTCTGGTTCCTTTAAAAAAAAAAGAAAAAAAAGAAAAGAAAATGATGAAATTATCTCTCATTATAGAATAAGTTTTGCAACATTACATAAAGGGCACAGTTATGCTTTAAGAAAAAACAAAACCAAAAAACCCACAACACACAAAAAAATAGATCTATCTATATCAGTTTACAAGACCTGTAATTAAGGTTAAGGAACCAAAACCTGCAGCCCTCATTCATGAGAGGTAATATTGAAGTCACACAGTAAAGGTAATGGTGGGGAGGGCACATGTAGACTTCAGGAAATTATGCACATAATACAGGATATATGAAAAAGGAGCAGAACTTAAACATGCAACAAAATCTAGCTTTTATTAAAAAGAAATCATCAAAACTTCACTTACAAGACATGATGTGCAAAATGTTCTGAAGTCCAAGCAGCCAGCTTCTGCAAGAGTAACAATACTCTGAAAGACAAGTTATTTTACAATTGCATTTATCTAATGATTTTTCAGGGGCATAAGGATGGTTAGTCTGTTAATAAATACATTGAAGATGAAGAGTATTTCTAAGCATCAAACAACTTTGTTATTGAAAATACGCAGCCAAAACTTTAACGTTTGCTTGCTTCTTACGTATGATAGAGGACAGGCTCATAGAAAGGAACAACAGACAGAGACCTATGTAGTCTTCCAAAATCACTCTCATCCATGCAACAAGCTGTCTTTCTTTCTCTCTCTTTTTTTTTTTGGGGGGGGGGGG